TCCTTCTTGTGGCCCCTGAACACCTGCAGCTCCTCCTTCAGGTTGCGGATGTCGAACAGCTTACACAGGTGATCTCTGGACGCCGTCAGCAGCCAGTTCCCGTTCAGGTTCCACTTCACCTCCATCACTGTGTTCTTGTGGGCGTGGCTAAGGACAAAGAGGCGGGACAGTGAGGTTCTGAAGGTCCAGGAAGGTTCGGACGGGTTCTGGTCCACTTACAGCGTGGCCAGACTCTGGCCCGTCTTCGGGTCCCAGAACTTGATGGGCTGCTGGCTGTCCTTGCTGCCCGACACCACCAGGCCTTTGGTCGGGTGCCAGTCCACACACTTCACGTCGGCGCCGTGACCTGAAGGAGGACAGAACAGGCTCAGTGGAGCGGGACGCCGCGGCGCTGTCCTGCGACAGCAACAGAACCAGTACCTCTGAGGATCCGCTCCTCGTGGCAGCGCAGGAAGTCCCAGATCCGGACGGTTCCGTCGTCGGAGCAGGTGGCAAACTTGTTGTCGGTGGGAGAGAAGCTGCAGAGGAGGAGCAGAGTTAGACTTCTGGACCGTCAGAACCGACCCGCCCTGCAGTCATCCAGAACCCCGCCCCCTGCTGCTGCTGCGCCGTCACTGCACCCACAGGGCACAGGTCCGATCTGAAGCAGCACCACCTGATCCCCCAGAACCACGTCTGTCTGCCTTACCCCTTGGTCACACTGGCTCCGGCGCAGTTACCGAGCCAACGGAGACCGCCGCACCCACCGCACCGCAACGGTAAGACCAGTTCTGGTGCCGCAGGTCAGACGGGTCTGAGCCTTGGTTCTGGTTCTGACCCAGTCTGAGAGGCTAACACCTGGCTGGATAAGATCAAAGAGCGGTTCTTCTGAATCGGACCTGGGACCAGGCTTACAGGAAAGATCCGAACGGGTTCTGTTAGCCAGCCGGACCTGGTCAGATTCTATCCAACATGGATCAGAACCAGACAGAATGAGCCACATGACCCGATCAGCAGCAGAACATCCAGACCTGCTGGCCCGAGACCCGGTTTAACCAGAACCGGGAGTGGGATGGGGCCAGGCTAAAATGGGTCAAAAGGAAGGTTCTGAAGGAGGATCAGATGAGATCCAGCAGAACCCTGAAGGTTCTGGTCGGGATATGATCAGAACCACCTGGGTTTTCAGACGTTCCTCCGAGCAGAACCGGTTCTGAAAGGTTTGTTAGAGAAGAACCAGCAGCTCGTAAACTGGGTCCAAATGGTTCTGGTTCTGTAAAGCTGCCTGCTAAAGAAACCATGATCATCATCATCCTCTGAGAAGATTCATCAGGTGAAACAAAACCGGTTNGCCGGCGCTACATCCCGCCCGTTGAGTAGATATGTCCCAGAATGCTTTGCACTCGGCCCAAGAAGAAGAGGCGTCATGATGCAGCCCGCTGGCGGTTAAAATGCTTATTCTGGTGAAATTAGGACATAAATCATCTTAATCCGAATAAATAAAATCTGTTCCCATTAATCTGCTGATAGCCGCTCATGGTTCTCCAGAGGAAGGTTTCAGGAGAACCTAGCCTGTAGCTAACAGCTAGCTAACAGCTAGCTAGCTGCGCTCTGCAGATTGTTGGTGAGTTTCTGTCGGAGCAGCCGCCGCCATTAAATCCGCTCAGATCCAGGAGCTGGACCGAACCGGGACTCGGTGCTGAGAACCACCGAACCAGCGCTAGTTTTAGCCTCTCTTACGGGTTCCGGCGGAGGAGCCGCCGCGCTTCTCCGTCCCTCCTGCTCTGGTTTAGCCTGCTAGCTGCTGCGGCTAACCCCTTAGCTCCCCTGCTGCTCCATTAGCAGGAACCCGGAGAAGGTTCTGATCAACCCGAACCGGGATGGAGCGACTCATGGGGCCAGATCCACAGAACAAACCCAGAGCAGTGGACCTGAACCCTGCTAGCCCCTGCTAGCTAAGGTTCGCTGATTGGAAACACGTTAAAGTTCCGATTTAAAGCGAAAGCAGCGGCAGGATGAGCCAGAGGAACCAGCCTGGGTTACAGGGCTTCAAACCCGGAAGCTGAGCTTTAAACTG